ACTCCTGACTGTGAGGATGAGTAGGTCTCTGACTCTTGTGCCTGTGTGGCAGGGTCCTGTGCTGTTGTTCCCTTTGAGGGAAGGGACCCAGTAGGTAGAGGGGGCCCAGTAGGCACAGAGTCAAACCATACAGATTCTGGGAGAATATCCAAACAGCAAGCAGTTTATTCAGGAAGAGGCAAGCCTTATATACCCTCCACCCCGCCCTGGGGGGAGGTCTGATGAATATGCATCTGCTGGTGGGACATGGCTGTCTCTCATTGCTCCAGGTCATCTCCGCATCATGTCTCGGCTGCTGTTGCTAAGGCTGTTGGGCAGACCCTGGTTGGCTCTCAGAAAGTATCTTTTTTACTGGTTTGGGCCGGCTGGCCCTCAAGCCTGTTAGGGATGAGTCATCCCACATGCCTGCTCTTGGGACTCTTTTCCTCATGTTGGGTTGCTGTGTCCAACTTCGATATGACAGTTTTTGCTTCGTTTTATTATATTTGATTTTGTCCTCTTTGGTTGTTATCTCTTAGAACCCTGTGCTTTTCTAGTGAGAGACAGAAAGGGAGTGGATCTGGAGGGGAGGGGAGATGGGGAGAAACTGAGAGGAATAGAGGGAGGGGAAACTATAATCAGGATATATTGTATGAGAAAAGAATATAGTTTCAAAAAAAAAAGAAAAAAAATGTAAAAAAAAAAATTTCATCATGCCTTCTATGTAAAGATATGTACTTTCATGCCAGGCATGGTGGCACAGGCCTTTAATCCCAGCACTCAGGAGGTAAAGGCAAGTTGATCTCTGTAAGTTTGAGGCCAGCCTGGTCTACAAAGTGAGTCCCAGGACAGCTAGGGCTCTTACACAGAGAAACCCTGTCTTGAAAAAAAAAAAGAGATGTACTTCTTGATAAATAATAGAGAAATTCAGAAATTTGACAGGAGACATCTCTGTCAAAAGGGGGTGGGGGTGGTACGGAGGAACTTTTCAGTTGAGCAGTTTGCCCTTTTTATCATGGTTAAGTGGTGTGGAATGTTACTTTATGTAAAGATGTGTTACATTTATTTATGTTGTGGAATATCACTTTAGCTGTGTAAAGATGTGTTGCATTTGTTTATGCTGCATTTGTTTAACTAGGTAAAGATGTGTTGCTGTTTCACCTTGCCTGCCTGGTTGGTCTAATAAAAAGCTGAATGGCCAATAGCTAGGCAGAGGAAAGATAAACTGGGCTGGTAGGCAGAGAGAATAAGTAGGAGGAGGAATCTAGGCTCAAGAGAGAATGAGGGAGAAAGAGAGGGAGATGCCCTGGGCCAGCCAGCCAGGCAGCTGCCAGACAGACACGGAGAAAGGACATACAGAATGAAAGAAAAATAAAAAGCCCCAAGACAAAACATAGATGAAGAGAAACAGGTTAAATTAATTTATAAGAGCTAATGGGACAAGTATATAATAAGGCCAAGCATTTATAACTAATAATAAGTCTCTGTGTCATTATTTGGGGGCTGGCAGTCCAAGAAAGCCTGCTACAATTAAGTTTATAATAACTATGAATGATCTTATCTTGAAAAATCTCAGAGGACATGAAGTAGGGCCCATAGGATTTGCAATACAATCTTAGGCAATGGCCCCATCAGTAAAGCATGTACCTTACAAGTGTGAGGACTCAGATTTGATACCCAGAACACATGGGAAAATGTCATCATGATGGCACTCATTTGTAATTCCAGGGAAGCAGAGACAGGTGGATCCTTTGGTTTGATAGCCAGCCAGGCTGTCCTAGCTGGTGAGTTATAGGCCAATGAGAGATTGCCTCAAAGAATGTGGATGGTGTTGCTGAGGTTGACCCCTGAGGTTGTCCTCTGGCCTCCGAAAGCATGTTAACACACATGTACCCATACATATGCACACACATGCATGTTTTAAGAAAAAAAAACAACTTGAAATATTATAGCCAGATTTTTCTTTGGGCCATCAGCTCACAAAAAATGACACGGAGACGTATTATTAATTATGAAAGCTTGGCCTTAGCTTAGGCTTGTTTCTATCTAGCTCTTATAACTTAAATTAACCCATTTCTATTAATCTACATCCTGCCATATGGCTCAAAGCCCTACATGTCATCCTTCCTCTCTGTCTCCTCTGGCATCTCTCCTGCACCTAGATTCATCCCCCCCTCCCCCTCCCCCAGCTATTCTCTCTGTTCCGGGAAATCCCACCAAGCCTCTTCCTGCCTAGCTACTGGCCATTCAGCTTTTTATTAAACCATTCAGAAGGCACCTTGGTAAAGATACATCTTCACAGTGTACAAAAAGATTATTCTACAACAAAATATAATGGCCCATGCCTCAACTGAAGCAGAATATATGTTCCTTAGAGGTAAGCACACGAAGGTTCAGCTGAGCCTTTGAAGATCCATGACAGTTAGTAGTACATTGTCATTGAAGGGACCCACAGCCCCTTACCCCCACAGGACTGGGGCTGATGATCTCGGAAAACTACAGGTATGGGGCAAGGATGACTAGTAGAGAAATCACCATTTTCGAGGAAGAAACCAGAAAACTAAGAATTCCATTTTTAATCTCAGTCCAGGAAAAGAAATAGTCCTGTGCAATTCATTTGTCTAATTCACAAAACCCCTTATGCTAATCCATGCAAAAACCTTCAAGTAAAACTTTTTCAAAAATCTAAATGGAACTATCTTTGAAAAAGTATAACCAAAAGAAATGATTAATGTTCTTTAAATATTTTTCAGCATTTCAGTTCTCCATTCCAGAATGTGCGGAGTGGAGGGGGTGTCTGTGTCAACTACTAAATATTTCATTTCTCCCTCTTTCCGGTGCTGAACAGAGGCACTTTGGTTAAACAATGACCAGAAAGGCAATGTTTTCATCCCTAGTTCTGTTTATCAGTCATTGATGTTTTCCTTATCACTGGTAGGCCTGAAAGAGAGTTGTAATGGCTGTTCTTGGCTGTCAACTTGGACTACATCTGGAATTAACTAAAAGCCAGGCAGCTGGGTACATCTGTGAAGGGTTTTTCTTAATTAAATTGCTTGAAGTGGGGAGACTTACCTTTAATCTAGATCTTTTGGAGTTGGGAAGGTCCATCTTTAACCTGGGCCACCCCTTCTGAAGACAGCCTATATAAAGGACATAGAAGAAGAAAGCTTATGTTCTTTGCCTGCTTGCTCTTGCTTTCTCTGGCAAGTCCATTCCTTCATGGCACTAGAGCCTACTTCTTTGGGATTCTGGCATACACTGAAGACCACCTGAGACATCCAACCTCATGGACGAAACAACTACTGGATTCTTGGTCTTTCCATTGACACACAGCCATTGAATATATATATAATATATATTATATATTGTATACATTCTACCAGTTCTGTTCCTGTAGAGAAGCCTGCCTAACACAAGGATGAAAGGAGATAGAAACATCATTTGAACAAGGTTCAGACAGCTAACTGGGGGAAATGAATTCCAAAATGAGGGACCAACAGGGCACAAGGCACAGGGTGAGTCTCAGGGACTGGAGGACAGCTGGGAGCTGCGGAGGCAGGAGTTGGGAGGACTCTCTGGTGCTTTAGGGTTGCAATCAATCCTTCCTGGATACCAGGAGGACTCCAGTTCTACCTGAGTCAGATGGAAGGCTGGGGAGGGGGAGGGGCTATGCAAATAGTTCCTTTGAATCACCCCTGCGCAGCTAAGACTGAGTGTGGAGCCTTGCGAGGAAGCAGAACACAAAGGATTGTGCTCTCTGTGTGGGGCTTTCTACACTGCCCTGGGTGTCTTGTTCCCTCTTTTAAAAGGCAGACTGATTGTTAAGTATAATTTAATCTCATCAAATAAAAATGTCAGGTTGGTGACAGGTGGGTGATTAGCCCATAGTATATTTTACCCCTCCAGTGTTCTCGAAATGACTGCTTTCTGTTGGTAATTATAGAAAGTACAGGCAGGAAACCGGCAAGGTGGCAGGTAAGGGCGCGTGGACTAGGAGGACAAAGGGAACAGTTGAGTGGTGGCCATAGGGGAGTCTGGATTTAGCAATGACGGAGATGTGGATGATGACCTAAGGGCAGAGTTGCTGGCTGGACAGAGATTCCTTAAGTCCATTCTTAAGTCACTGTAACTTTATTCTGCAAGCAGTGGCCTTCTGTGACGCTTCCATCTCACGACGTTGTCTCAAGCATCAGGGTGGAATCCTAGCATACAGCAAACACTGTATGAGGTCCACCAGAGACTAGGGAGCTGATGTGGGATGAGGAACCCAAGGCTGGAACAAATAATCCAATCCCTGATGAGGAATCCGAAGCTGGAAGAACCCTTGGAAGGGGTGGAGCAGGAAGAGACCTCTACATTATCCTCTCAGAATATGATGGGTGGTGGCTTCACCGACTTTCACCCCTCAAAGGGTGGACAATATGAACAGATTCAGTTTCCCTCCAAGTCTGTGACTTGCAACTTTCTGTGTCCCCACATGGCCTTTCCCCTGTGAGGGAGCTTCTCTGTGTGTCTAGACCTCCTCTTCTTGTTGGGCTAGCCAATGTGTTGAATTAAGGTCCGCATCCACACCCCATTCCATCATACTCCCTCCTCTTTTACAGGCCCCCACCCCACCCCCGTCTCCAAACCCAGTCATATTCTGAAATACAAGAGGCTCAGTCTTCAACATACGAATTTGGGGGTATGTAACTCAGCCCAGAACACGATAATTCCATATGTTTTTAATAGCTACAAACACACACAACTGAAAATGAATTAGTATTTTAGGGGACAAGTATAGAGAAGGCGATAGGAAATGAAATTTCAGTGTGCAAAATGCATTGACAAGGAAGGGGAAACGCTTAACTGGTAAGCTGGAGAAAAGCATTTCCCAAAAGAGTTAAATGATTGTCAAATCATTTCGAGCCGGTGGTAAGCTGGATTAATTGTCAAATACTTCAGCAAGACTAGTGGGGGAGTTAACTGCAGTTATTATCTCAAAAAGAACACATTTCTTTGGAATGCCATTATGTTTCAGAAGTGCAGAAAAGGTTTCCTAGGAGAGATCCTTTTGTGTGGCAATGTAAATTGAGCTGAGAGTGCTATGCGTCATTTCTGGGTGACATCTGCGGGTGAAGTCAGAAAAAGCCAGAGGCTACCTGCCGTGGAGGGAAATGTTCTTCCACCACCAGAGGAATTGAGGCAGCTTCCAAAGATGGAACACACGCAGCTCCCTAAAACAGAGGTAATGAGAGAGTCGCAGGGTTTAGCGTCTTAGAGGTTCCCCGCTGTTCACAGCTCACAGATCCAAATATAGCTGGGTCTTAAGTTTTTAAAACATTCAATTTGTGTGAAAATCCTTCTCTAGAGATAGCCGGCGCCTTGGTGAAATGGGCTGGGAACGGTGCATCAGTCACTATCCAGCTCTCCTTCACAGGGAGCCATTTGCCGCTGGGATCACCGGCTAGCTGGAGTTCCTGAATGTAAACAAAAGACCTTCTGGGGAAAGAATAGTCATAATGAAAATAACAAAACGAGAGTGGGAGAAAAAAGGGGGGAAAAGGAAATGTAATCGTCGGCTCTAATTTTTTACTTCTCCGAAACTGCTGTTTATTTCCCCGCCCCAATTCCCTCCGGAGACCCAGCTTCCACCCACTTATTCATGCTCTGTTAAAGTCATTTCTCCAGAGATTGGCATTCGGGGAGTCTGAAACAATCGAACATGTGCAAATGCCTCGGCTGTGCTTGGCTTTTTGTTTTTCATCTCTGTGAATCCATTAGGCATCTGCCTGTGGTGCATTTATGAATGCACCCCGGGTTTCATAAAGCCCTGGGTGCATCTAGGCCATGCAGCAACCGTCTCTGAACTACTTAGGTGTCACTGTGAGGAAACTTCATAATAATTATGCAACAGTGTGTCGGATTATTCACCAGGGAAGCATGTTCATGTTTGAGGCTGGGTTTTGTTGTTTTGTTTTGTTTTTGTTTTTCTTCTAGACATTGCTTAGGAACTTCTGGTAAAAGAGTCAAAAGTTCTTTCAGCACCCGCTCAACCTCAGACTACTCTGACATCCATCTCGGACCCGCCATCTTGCTTACAATCTTCTTGAGGGAGCTGGAAGCCCAATGACAGGGCCTCTGCTAACGTTGTTGTGATCGGTGTTTCCACTTCAGGTGTTTTCGTTCTAATGGTGCCTTCTGAAGGACGCTCGCTGACTGCTCTGCTGGCCATCTGTCCAGTCGGAACACGAGGAGTGCACTCCAGGGGGGATGATGGTCCGTCCTCAAACAGTGTACCACAGTGTGGTCCACCCGACAGAATCCAGAATTCCCCGGAAGATGAGCCTCTGGGCATGCCTATGGAGATTGTCCTAATTGTGTTAATTACTGTAGGAAGGCCCATCTTAATTGCCAGCAAGGCCATTCCGTGGCTGGAATCCAGACTGTGTAGATGGAGAAAGGGAGGTGTGCAGTAATATGTGTTTATTGCTCTTTACTTCTTGGTTGTGGCTGCTGGGTGACTCACTGCCCCAAGCTCCTGCTGCCTTGATTTCCCTGCCATGATGGACTGGACCTTGAGTTGTGAGCTAAAACAGGCCCTTTCTCCTTTAAATTGCTTGGACAGAGTATTTTATTACAGCAGAAAGAAAAAAAAATTAACACCACAGTTTACAAGGGGATGTAGTTTACAAGGCAATGTAACAGAGCCTGGAGGGATGGCTCAGAGGTTAAGAGTACTGGCTGCTCTTCTAGAGGACCCAGGTTCAATTACTAGCGCCCACACGACAGCTCACAAGCATCTATGACTCTAATACTAGTGGGTCTGATGCCCTCTTCTGGTCTTTGAGGGCAACAGGTATGCATGATACACAGATACACAGACTGGCAAAACCCCCATACACATAAAATAAAATAAAATAAAATAAAATAAAATAAAATAAAATAAAATAAAATAAAATAAAATAAATAAAATAAAATACAAAATGTAACGTGATGTAGCTTAGCCTCATAACTCACAATCACCTTAAGATGAACCCACAAGCAGACGTTGACCAAGTTCTCCTCTCCTTCCTCCTCCTCCCCCTCCCTGCCCATGTGATCCTGTTTGATCTACATTTCCATGTTTCATACAATATTTACTTTAATCCAGTTCTTACAGCAGGACACGGGGTATTAAAGATACAATGATGAATGGGTGGAACAGTAATGCTAACTCACTTCAGTACATGCTGACGGCGCTACAGACTTGAGACTCTTGAGGATGCCGCGATGTTGGCATCCCACGGACGGACATTGGAGTCTTAAAAAAAATATTTAGGTGCAGGGAGTTTACTTGGGTGTCTAACCAGGGCACAGGGATGAGGAAGTGTGGAGAGTGACGAAACATAGAAAGGCTACTGAAGGATGGCACTGAATTCCTGTGGGTCTGAGGGCATAATCCCCAGAGGTAGTCTGAGAAACCGAAAGGTGACCCTGAGGGTCCTGGCAATTGGCACTTGCCTCTAGTGCTTCCATGTCACTTCTGTAAGCGAGGGGATCAGCTCCTGTGTGTTGGGGACAGCCACAGGACAGCAGGGCCACTTGAGGGAGGACCTGAAGGGGGAATGGTAAAGCCCCAGGTGACAGGGAAGCTATGTCCGGGGCTGGAGGACACAAACTCAGCCTAAAACTAAGACAGGAGGAGACTGAGGAGAGAGGCCTAATATGCTGAGAAGCGAGAGCAAGAGAACCGTAAAGGGCAGCTGGGATAACGAAAGGGAACGGAGAAAAAGAAGTAAACCCAAGAGGGATTAGAGGCAGGAGAAAGAAGTTTTGCGTTTGGGTATAAAACTTGGTGGATAAAGGAGGAAGGGGAGAGAACTATTGTATGGGAGAATATTATGCACAGAAAAGTCCAAAGTGGCATTCTGGGACAGATGGTACAAATCCTATGGATAATTGGATGTCTAATGCATGAGCCATTAGGTCCCCAGTTTTTGTTGTGTTTATAAAAATCATTCTAAGCCATCTATTTAAAGTATTGGGTACATCTGGCCATGCATAAAGTATCTCCAGGCTCAGGGTTGAGGCAAGGTCTAGATACATAGATTTACATAAGCCTGCCATAGGGGTTACTCAAGGACACATGTAGAGGCCATGTGCTGGCGAGTTTTATGTCAACTTGACACTAGCTAGAGTCATCAGAGAGGAGGAAGCCTCAGTTGGGAAAATGTCTTCATAAGATGGGGCTGTAGGCAAGCCTGTAGGACATATTCTTAGTCAGTGATTGATAGGGATTGGTCCAGCCCATTGTAGGTGGTGCCATCCTAAATCTGGTCACCTCGGGTTCTATAATAAAGCAGGCTGAATAAGCTAAAAGGAGTAAGCCGGTAAAGTGCATCCCTTCATGGCATCTGCATCAGTTCCTGCCTCTAGGTCTTTAGGTCTTTCCCTCTTTGAGTTTGTCTCCTGACTTCCTTCTGATGAAAAATGATATGGAATCATAAGCCAAACAAACCCTTTCCTCCCCAAGTTGCTTTGGTTGTGGGTTTCCATCACAGTGTTATGGAGTTTCTAACCCCTGGGAGAAGACTACAAGATTCAATCCAGTTATAATGAAAAGATTTATTTATGACTGCTAGCAGGACAACAGTGTCTGAGCCAAACTTGAGACTACTGTGCAAAGTGGGGTGAGGGGAGGATACTTAAAGGTGAAAACCACCAGAAGACCCTGAGCATCTGCACAAGCAAGCCGGGAGCTGCTCTGCTCTGCCAAGATTAGGTAGTCAAGGTGACCTCAAAATAGTCCTTGACTGTCTGCATAATTAGGTTACAGAAGGCAAAAATCAGTTAGTACATGGTCATGGCTGTACATTTCAGGGAGGGGGGCAGTGTCACTGAGTCAGGGTTACTGAGAACTTATCTTACAAGGACTGGAGTCAAAGACAAATGGCTAGTGGGTACCAAGATGGACATCTAGCATAAAAATGGGGTTCCTTTAGCCATTATAACAGCAATAGTAACCCTGACATAGTGGGGTATTGCTGTGACAGACCTTACCAGTGTTTGTTGGAGAATCATGAAAGACTTTGGAACTCTGGGCTAGAAAAGCCATTGAGTGTTCAAAGCTTGGTGAGATGTTCCATGGAAGCTTGGAAGATAAAGAGTGTTGGGAGAAATGCAGATGATGGAGGCCTGGCTTGTAAAGTTTTGGAGGGAAGTTTTGAGAGCTAGTTAAAGACTCTATTGAGGCTGTTGCGTATTTTGGGTTAAGAATTTGTGGTTCTGATTAGCTAGAGCTGAAGAATCAGCCGTGATTAACAAGAGACCGGAACCACTAAAGTGAAAGCTTTGCATTGCTGGGACAATCAATCCTGGTCAGCAGGAGCTGAGAAATTAGAGGTGATGGAGAAGAGATCAGCATCATTGAGATGAAGTCTTTCCTCATTGAAGGGAGTGTTTCCTCAGAGTCAGCACACAGAAGCTATGTCCCAAGAGGCTGCCAAGGCTGTTCCTCATGCTGGCAGTGGTCTTGTAAGAGTGTGGTAGTGTAAGGTTCATCCAGGTGGTGCTCATTTTGAAGGCATGAAGGGGTCATAGAGAGAAGCTGAGACTTGGCATTGTGAGAGGCCAAAAAAGTCATTGATGAAGGTGCAGCCTCAGTGGCAGTTAAAGGCCCAGGATTGAGGGAGTCATGTAGAGAAGTTGAGGCTTGGCACCATGAAGAGAGCCCAGAGAGGCTATTGGTAAAAGTACAGCCCAGTTACAGGAGCAACTCGAGTACTTTGGAGATGCCAGTTCCATGGAATGACCACCAAGAACAGGCGCTGGTCAGCTGGTGTGGAGTCAGCCTGAGCCTAGAGGAGCTGTGTGTGCTGTAAAGGGTAGAACCTGAGAAACAACCCGGGCCCCTTAGAGAAGCCCAGATTGTGAGTGGATTCCAGATATCGGTCACTGAGTAATCTACACTGTTGGGGTTTGGTTTTGCTTTGATCTGATTGCGACTGTGCCCTGGTTCTTCTCTCTTAAAGTAAGAAAGTGTTTTATAGGAGCTCACAATTGTAGACTTTAGATTTTGTTGTTGTTGTTGTTTTTGAGTCACGGTTTTTCTATATAATTCTGGCTGTCCTGGAATTCTCTATGTAAACCAGGCTGGTCTCAAACCCACAGAGATCTGCCTTCCTCTGCCTCTTGAGTACCAGGAATAAAGGTAGTGCTGCCCGCCAACTTTGGATATTTATTTATTTATTTATTTATTTATTTATT